CTCTTGGAATCAAAGAGTTAATATGGCTAATGAATCTCAGATTGCAATCTAATGTCAACACCAAGCATTTTATTTTATCGCTATCTTCCAATTTGTGATTATGGATAAAAATTGAGGAATTATCTATGGCCCTACTCCGGTGCCTCTTATTGCCAAAAATTATAGCTGATGATTTATTTTGATTGATGTTCAAACAGTGATTTCTTGATATTTTCAATAGGTCATCTATATCATTATTCAAAAAGTGTTCAACGTATAAAAATTCATCGATTTTCGCGGAAAAAATCAGATTGGTGTCATTAGCATAGGTATGCATTTGAAAATTCTTTAGTATTTTGGAAAAATCAAAAGTGTAAATAATAAATAGAAGAGGTGCAAGTATACTGAGGAAAGATTTGAAAAAAGATTGACTTTTCTCATCGCACATAGTAAAGCATGGTTCATAGTATCAATTGCTTCCTTATAATGAAGTGAAACTAAAAAAGTTTCTTCATTCTTATCATATTCTTATTATAATACCATCGGTAATATTAGGAAGAACACTTGTGGTACCATCATTTTGTCAAAAGCCAGACTGCGTGATGGGGAGAATACGGTTAATATTGACAAAGGTATAACTTTGTTCATAAACTGCTTTTTCGATTACTTTTGAGAGTGGCGGTTGAATATTAATAGGTCTCAAGTCATTGAATGTTTCCGGTTTGGATATTTTATTGATAGGAAGTACTAGGGATTTTTTCCAATTATTGGGATAAATTCCATTTTCTATACATTTGTTTACGATGAAAGTTGTAATGGGGAGTGCACAATATAACATTATATATGCCGTCGCTTCCTGCCGCATTTGATTTCAGTAGTTGTTTACAGCTGATTCTCGGCCTCCCCCCACCACTATGACGTATTAATTGCTTTTTTATTGGTTGTTGTTTGGTGAAGTTTTTTTTTGTTGTGCAGTGAAGTCAAGGCGTTGTGACCTTGAAGTGTCTGGTGCATGGATCGTTCAGATTTTTTTTTCATATGAGATTTTGTGTGTTTATGTGTGTGTGTAGGANGAAGTTTTTGAAGATATGGTGATATACATACCTACATGTTATTGATTGTTGTCTCAACAATTGTTACGGAGTACGGATCTGTTTTTCTATCAGTTATACTTGAACAACTAGGTACTTCCCAGTCTGGTATAATTAGTTCCAAAATTTATGCTCAAGCATCATCACATATCATTTCATCAATTGTTCAAATATTTACCAAGCGAATAATTACTGAAAATTGCTTGAGATCTATTTTTTTTTCTGAAATAAAATTCTTTACAACACTCAACAATAGGCGGAAAACTTCTCAAAACGTGCACATGTAGAGAAGTTTTTTCCAGAAACTGAAAAAAAATCATCTGAAACAACTAGTTTCAAATATATTAACAATGGTGTTCACAAAAATCACTTTTTTCAGCTCGTTCTCGAACAATCGCAATGGAATGCTACATAGGAATGCTGACATGAAAAAATATTGATATGGAATTCCATCTGCATGGAAAATTCACGATTTCTTCTTCAAGGATAAAATACAAGCACCACAGGAAAATCTCTGAGGCGCTCTAAGAACGGTGCCTGTGCGGAAGTAGTGATTTGAATCGCTGGAGATTAAATCCATTCGAAGAAACGTTCTCAGGAAGTTTTTTCCACATGAACGCAGTTTCCAAATGGAAGAGTTCTCAAACAGTGAAGTTCGAAGTGTATTGAGTTGAACCTCAAAACGATGAGCAGCCACAGTGCGTCGCGTATTTCTGTTATGTACCGCTCTTGGTGGAATCAAATGTGCCAAGTCACTTGAACTTGGCACATCTATCGTCATGAATGTTTTTGTTTTTATTTCGAACTATACCGTATATGAGTTTGAAAATTCGTAACAGATACATGTTCAAAAATAACTTTCCGAATATTTGAATACGACAAAAAACACCAATTTATCTCGAAGCTTTATTTTATTTCTTGAAAACATAACACTGCACTTTGAAGTTTCGAACGAGAACACTTGTCTTCAACCACTCTTAAGCACCTTTTCAGGAAAAAAAGCGGTTTATTTCCAACAGGAGTACCCAGTTACAGAAAATGCTATTATTACAGATTATATATGAAATAAATATTAAAAGTAATGTAATATAGAAATGTAT